TAACAATGCTTGGTGAATTTATTTCTCAAGCATTAAATTATTATTGATTAGCTATTAGAATAAAAGTTGAACATCTTGTTGCTCATGTTCAAACTTAGAAAGGTTTAGCAAAATCATTTATCGAAGGCTTCAATTGATAGTTGAACCATTATTTAAAATAAAACTCCTTGTTTATGTTTGGGGACATGCAATCTTCCATGTAGTAATATTTATTTACATCAAACCCATAAGCTATTAGAAATTCTCTCCTCTTTAATTGGTTTATGGTCATAAGTCAAATATTTCTTATTTAAGAATTTTTTTGGTATTTCGAGTATATATGCGCATTACTCCTCCATAATGAACTAAAATGAGCACTTAAAGGAAATTGAAAATATATGTTGGATTTGAATCCTTTTCGATAACTACATATCTTAAACCATGAATAAGAGATATTTTTACAGCTCCATTTATCGATTGTCATTTTGATGAAACAGTTTATCCGCCAACAAAAGAAGTTCTAACAATATCATATGAAGATAATGCTTGCTTGTATAATTCAATTAAAGGAAGAATTCAATCAAGTGACAATCCTACGATTTGTTCACTAAGGCATTACCTACCATAACTTTTGAGAAGATAATTCACAAGATTGAAATACATTGTCTCAAAGATCTCAAATGATGTTTTCAACAAAGGGAGGCCAAAGGCTAACATTGAGATTAATGTATACAAGAAATATTGTACTCTTTTTTCTTCACTAAAATTTTTTTTGATTGGGTTTTTTCCTTGTAAGGTTTTAATAAGGTATGTTCCTTGTACGATGGACATTCAAGAAGGAGTGTTATGAAATAATGAATGTCAATTTCATATTCTCCACTATTCATATGATTTAATTCACCATTCAATATGAGAAAGTGAAAGGGTGATGTAATTTATTTAATTATTTATGCATCTTTTAATGGTTCATAATCCTTTCAAATTCTCTTCCTAATCTTGAAGCTTATAAATAGGTTTGATTGTTTATTTGTTTATGCATAAATTTTTTGTAGAGATTGAGAGAATTATTTGGAGTTCTTATCACTTGTATTCACTTTATTTCATAGTAAATTTATTTTTTATCATCTTTCTCCTCAATTCTATTATTTTCATCATTTCTTTTACAACAAAAAAAAAGGACAAAGACAACATATATAATCCCACCTCCTCGCTCACAACATATCATATGATAATATTGTCTTCAAAGACTTCAATTAGATCATGGAAGAAAGAAAGAAGCAAGGTACCAAGTTTGAAAGAGAATCAAGAGATATCTTTGGTTTTTTTTATTATTAAGAGATATCTTTGTAGCTAAGGAGGAAAAATGGAAACAAACAGATAGCAAGTTCTCTTTCGTCAACACTCGCCTATCCATTCCATTTACATAATTAACCAAAACCATAGTGCAATCAAGGTTATTATCAAATCGAGTCTACTATCTCTAGGTTGTTGTTGTTAGGAAATAAATCAAATAAAAGAATATAGTAGAAAGACAAGCACAATCACACTACACAAAGATTTTACATGGTTCGACAATGGTGCTTATTTCACAGCTACAATAAGATTTCTTATTAGGTTTTGTCAAGTGACGACTACAAATACAAGTGATGTTGCTTTCATTTATAGTATGGACAACTAGGATTATTAAAAAAAAAAAAAAAGGTCTAACGAGCCTATACATCTAACTCAATATTTTATAGACCTTTTAAAAGCTCCACCCCCCCTCCCAAGCCCTACAAGGGATGCCGCCACCTTGACCCCGCTTGCTAACTTTCTAGTGAGACCGTCATGTTGGATCCGTATAGCGCATTATATTATAAGTCTCTATCCACATCGGTCTCTACAAATTAATAGTTTAAGTCTCTTTCAACAAGTTCAAGTATTCAATGTGTACGATCGCAATGAAAATACAAGAATTGAAATAAAAATTAAAATAACATTTATATTTTTATTCTATATTTGATAATATGAAATTAGAATAAAATTTAAAATTTTTAATATCTAGTTTTAAAAATGAATAAAAATAATTATAAAAAAATAATTATCAATTATAATAATTGTAAAAATAATATAGATGATTTTAGTGGTGGTGCTCGTAACAATAGTGTAGTAATAACAATAATATATTTTTAAAAAATAATATCATTACTATAGAAAGTGGTTGTGGAAGAAGAGTTATGTTAGTTGTGTTATAATAAAAGTGATGATAATTATAAAGAAAGAATAGTGACAATAATAATAATAATAATAATAATAATAATAAATTTTTTTTAAATTTTTTTTTATCACCACCGCCAATGGAGGTGGTAGACGCGATGAAGGTGGTGGCAACGAGTGGAGGCAATAGAGGTAGTGGATGAAAGATAATGACATAATAATAATAATAATTTTCGAATTCTTTTTATCACTACGACCAATGAAGAGGGTGAAAGTAGCAGATGATAGTGACGGTATAATAATAATAATAATTTATTTTTATTTATTTTTAATCATCATTGCCAATGATTGTAGTGGAGGTGGCGATGGTGATAAAAATAATTGATAACTTTAACTAATATCTCGTTCAATAATTGCCTATCATGTGCCATAGAGCTTATCATGCAACATAACAGGTTTCCATAAATAAAACATGCCAAGAAAAAGGACAGCATCCTCTTCCTGTATTTTCTTGATCTGCACCATTAGAAGTCCCAAAACATGTATTGCACATTCTATCTACAATGTATTCGAAAATTACAAAATCCCATCACAGTTTCAAGTACGAATTCGATTACATTTTGTGTCCAATATTTTCAAAACCTTGTATATTTTCTTCCCAATATATAAAGCTACATATTGATTCTATATTCTAACATGTATAAAATTGCAAATACAAATTAGGATCATATCAATTATTTTACATAATCTTATTTCCTAAATTAATTTTCATGGTTCCCGGTTCTTCATCATAACATTTTACCAGTACTAAAAACCATAGTACAAAAGAATAATAACTTGAGGTAAGGAATAAATGGGACAGTCAAAGTAAAAGTAATGCAACAATTATGTGCCTATTTTGGAGAAAAGAAGAAAGAGTAGAGAATACAGTGTTACCTGGCTCAAGAAATTAACCAACAGTAAAAGAGAATGATAGATCACTATGTACATTCTTGTGCGTTTTTCTGTAACTTAACAACCATGTGCGTTATTTACCCACATTCAATTCTACCATAAATTTTCGATATTTATTGGCTTTTTTGTACTTTGGTTCCTTATATTTTTAGAAATCTTTTTTTTATGCCAAATTTTATTTATATTGCAATCTAATCCCTAAATGTTTAAAGGAAAGAAGGAATGAGAAATGACGAGGACTATTATGACCACTTAGACCATTGAACTCACCACTAATTTATCCATCTTGAAGAGTAGAATTTGTTCATGGTTATTATAAACTATAAAATAGTTGGAGAAAGTAGATTGAGATCTAAAAATATTTTAATTTTTTTTTAATTTAAATTTTTGTATGTTTTGTGTACATTAAAATGAGTTTTGAGGTTTAAAATGAGTTTCTTGATGCTAGTGATTTTAATGTATTTTTGGACAAAAATAGCGTTCAATTTAGCTTTGCGCAAGCTTGAAATTAAAAATCCACTTTTTGGAGTGATGTTTTCGGTGAACTTTAGGTTGCTGGAAATTATAGATAGACGACACGTCGTCTACTGCGCAGCAAGCAAAAGATGTATCATTCATTTTCTTTATTTATTTTTTTGTTTTTTGGAGCAATCTTGTGCCACCCGAGTTCACCAAGCCCAAATGCGTAGGCCTCGCCCCAACTTAGTTCTTTTTTTTCAGTAATTTATTTATTATTATTTTTTAATACAGATTTTTGGATAAATATGAAAAATCAATCGTTAATTTTTTGATTTACACGTACCTTGGCTAGAAAGAAATATATATGAAAAATTTTCATATTTTAAAATAAACATATATTTAATATTATAATACTTTTATTATTTAAATTATTTTTTTTAGTTTGTTATTTCTTATGGAGATTGTCATCCAATTAATTATTTTTATTTTTATTTTGTTTAAAATTTATTTATTGGAAATTATGGCTTGTTTTTCTCTGTGTATAGATTTTTTTAATAATATTTTAAAATATAACTATTATCTAATTTATTTAAAAAAATTAATGTAATATATATGATGGATTGTTAAAATTTTTAAATGGCAGTGTATATATATATATATATATATATATATATATATGTATATATATAATTTGTTAGATTAAATTTGCACAATAAGTTTTAAGTTAAGAACCATGGGTTTTTTAATTTTTTTTTTTTTAGATTTGTACAATTTTTTTAGTTAAGAATCCATATAAAATAGAATAAATCATGTTTTTAAGTAGAAAATTCATGAAAAAATAATAAATAATTAGACAAACACAAAAATTTGATTAAAAAAATTCATAAAATTTAACGGATTTTTTTTTAATTTTTTATTTGATATATTATAATAGACCTACAATATAATATAGACTTTTAAAGTAAAAAGATTTTATATATTTTGTTCCATTGGTAGTAAAAAACTAGTGTATTTTTAATTTAGAAAATTGAGTTGGGAGATGGAATCACTTGGCGATCCATTCTTGACCAACTGGCGTAAATGAGGACCAAGCCCAAGCCCACTATTGGTTATTTGTTTAGTTTTCAGATTGGTTTTGTAACTTACAGGCCGCGACCTCTGTTAATTCCCTCTCCACCATATAAAAAGCAGTCCTTTACTTCCCATGTCATGCATCATCTCACACTTATTTCTCAAAGATAAATCACCGTTCTCTCTTCCTTTCAAACCTGAGACTCCACAAGAAAATACCCTGCTTTCTTTCTTTTTCCAAAACAAACCCTCCTCGTTCAAGAAAACTTCCCTAAAACTCCACACTCAAATCAAGAAACCAACAAAATTCTCTCGAATTAAACCCATTCAAGATCAAACCAATGTCAGCTTTATCCATGGCTGATGAACCAGACCAAGAATCCAAAAGGGTTCAACTTCAATGTTACCCAAAAGACCCAGAAGCATACAGAATCTTGGAAGAGATTGGTGGCGGTGCTAGTGCCAAAGTTCACAAAGCATCATGTGTCCACAGCCAGGGGAAGTCAAGTTTGGTTGCAATCAAAATATTTGATCTTGAACTTGAACAATCTCCAGCCGATTTAGATAGTCCTCGACGTGAAAGAACGACCATGTCACTTCATTCACACCCTAACGTTCTTTCATCCCATTGTTCTTTCGTTGTCGATCACTATCTTTGGATGGTTATGCCTTACATGGCTGGTGGTTCTCTCCAATCCATAGTCTCTTCTTGCTTCCCTGAAGGCCTACCAGAGCCATGCATTTCTATAGTTCTCAATGAAACCCTAAAAGGATTGTATTATCTCCATGATCGAGGCCATTTACACACAGATATCAAGGCAGGCAACATTCTTGTAGACACAGATAATAGCAGCATAATTCTTGCAGATTATGGCAAATCGGTCTCGATTTACGACTCAAGTAACATCGTGGGATCATCCTCATCGTCTTCCTCATCAATAATGAGGCTAACTGATGTTGCAGGGAGCCCATATTGGATTGCACCAGAGGTTATACGTGACTCAGATACAGGTTATAGTTTCAAGGCTGATATATGGTCTTTTGGTATTGTGGCATTGGAATTAGCCCATGGTCGACCTCCTGTCACTCACCTTCCTCCTTCAAAGACTTTGATCATGAAGATAAGGAAGAGGTTTGGGTTCACTGATTATGATGATGAGAAGCACAAGAAAGATTTCAAGAACAAGAACTACTCTAAAGAGTTTACAGATATGGTTGCTTCTTGTCTTAATCATGACCCTTCAAAGAGACCTTCTGTTGATCAGCTTTCAGAGTATTCTTTCTTCAAGAACTGTAAAGAATTAGACTTTTTGTTCAAGGAGGTTTTTGATGGGTTGCCTAATGTTGAAGAAAGATTCAAAGAAGCCAAGGCTTTACATGATGGGACGTGGTCAAGCCTGCAGATTACTGCTGGTACTGATATTGAAGAAGAGGGTACTAACTCAGTGGGCCCAAGTGTGAATTCTATAAGGATCGGTGGCTGGAAATTTAATGAGGATGAATTCGTCCTTGACCCAGTATTCCATACTGAGTCAGAAGATGATGAAGTTGTGAGGATGGTTCGTTTTGGAGGTGAAACCTTTATTCCGGACACGAATATTGATTCGTCAGGTGGGTTAGGTGAATTGGAGGGTTTAGTGGGAGATCATACTGGTGCAAACATGAGTAGAATACAAGGAATTTGCTATCGCTTTGATCGAAAGAAAATGTTAGAGGGTTTAGTGGCATTAAAGAGGAGTACCGAGGAGCAGAAAAGGGCAGTAGTAAATATGATAGTTCAGTTAGGAGGGGAGGCTGACAGAGAGGAACAAATGGTGCAAAGGATTGAGAATCTGACGGAGGAGTTGGAAATTGAGAAGGAAAAGAACCTTAAGTTGAAGATTGAATTGGAAACCATCAATACTGTGATTTCTGGTGCAAACAATGATGCTTCTATTGCTGGAAACATTTTCGATGATATTGACTGATTGTATAGAAGACAGAGTTTTGGTATGTCAAGCTTCTGATTTTTTGTTCATATAACTGACAGTAGCAATGATAGGGAGTTTCTCAACATCTGCGGTAAAAGCTGTGCCTTTCTCTGTTTTTGTTTGTTCTGTTTTAGCAAACGGTAAAGAACTAATTAGTCTAAGGACTTTGATCTAGTTTTCAATTTTGTCTTCAGGAGGAGTACGATCTTTTTGTAGATTCCGAATAAGTGAATATGAAATGCAATATAACCTTCTTCTGTCAAGCTCTTATGCAATTTAATCTGCTTTTATGTATAGCCTCCTGATGCTGGCTTCAGCCTCTCAGAGGAGCTAAGTTCCTCTCAGATGAAATGCAATATAACCGATCTCGAAAGAAAAAAATTAATACTGGTAACAATGGAACAGGATTGCATTTTCTGATACACAAGGTTTTCACATCATGGCATTTTATAATCATCAGTTCTTCAATTCCTTTAGGAGATAGCGGAGATCTCCTCCTTTGCTGATATTGCAGTAATGCAGCTGCTGGACTGCTTAACTCTGCATTTGATAAATGTGGAAAGAAAAAGATCCACACCGGTCATCATCTTATTATAAGATTGTACGTTCTTAGTACTTCTCTTCCAAGGATTCAAATTACTTACTGAAGTGAAGTCAATAGGCTTATAGAAATGGCATTGCCTAATCCTATCGTATAATAATAATGATGATGACGACGATGATTAATATAAATAAAAACTCCACATAAATACAAACAACTCAGAGAAACAGAACCTGAAATGAAACTGAAACATAAATATGTGAGAAGGACAGAGAAAGAAAGACGATGGATGAGGAATCATCATCAAGAAGCGTTGAAATCGAACACAAACTGTATGCACGCGTGGGTCTGTTAGGTAATCCGAGTGATATTTATTATGGGCGTACCATTTCTTTCAGCCTTGGCAATTTCTGGGCCACTGTCAAATTGCGCCCCTCTCATCATCTCGTCATCACTCCACATCCTACACATGATCTCGTCCAATTCTCAGCCCTTGATCACCTGGTTTCTTTCTCTTCTTCTTCACCTCTTATTATATATATATATATATATATATAATAACCCCAAGGATCTAACAATGATGCAGGGTATAAAATAGAAGATGAATGAAATACGGATTGATAAATGGGCGGTAGAGCCAGCCACGATGATGCAGATGAACAAAACAAAGAAATAAAACTTTAAATTAAAACAGAAATAAAATTAAAATAAATGGGCGGCGAGCCGACCACCGAATAAGATAAACAGAAATGTACGTGGCGTTGTTAAACCAAGGTTAGGCTCGATGATACCGAGTACCGTTATAAAGCCGAGTTATGGTATTCCAGCCGATATACCTTAAGAGAGGGAGAGAGAGATATACATAAATGTAAGAAACTTTTATTTATTTACAAGAAAAGTACCTTACAACGGGAGGAGTTTTCGGAATCTTGAAGGAACAGGATTACAAAGAGAAATCTTTCCTGAGAATATCTTAAAACTTAGAGAGATAAAATATGCGAAAAAATAAAACTTCGATTACAAATGAAATGAGCTCTCTTTATATAGAGAAAGCCTTCATGAATAGTACCATGAATAGTACCTATGACTAGTAAAATTGTACGAGTAAAAGTAAATAGTAATTTGCTATAGTGTCTTTACGTGTTGATAAACGATAAGACACCGAAAGCAATTTTGTCTTCTTGTGTCACGTGGGATGAACAATGACGACCTTGTGAATTTTTGTTTCGGAGATAAGCTGTTTTGTCGGCAAATGCCCGAATATGTCAATTTTGTTGTGGAGTTCACGGGTGGTGAACTTGGGAAAAAATGTCATAGGATTCGTCTTCGTTATCATTCCTCAAATTTATCATGGGTTCGACTCGGAATCCGAATCGCGGCTTGCGAGGAATTGGACTCGTTTTGAACCATCTTAGACATGATGGCGAAGTATACTTTCTCCGTTTTTGCTATCGTGAGTCCGGCATTAACAACGATTTTTGTGCAAGGAAATTGATTGTTGAGGATGATGACTTGAGAAATCCTTGTTTTGTAAGTCATTCTTCAATACTGTTTTGGATATAGATGATGGAACTTGGAAAGAATCCCACCATTTGACTTTGAACCTTCGGACAAGGATAAAAGCCTCGGTTTTGGTTTTGTGTTTCATAATACCGGGAACAAACCCAAGGAAGGAAGAATTTTGTGCGAGAAAAGGAAAAGAGGGGTGAATCTTTTTCTTTTTCGAGGGTTTGTAATGGGTTTTGAAGAGAGTGTAACTCTCGGTGATTGCTTGGAGTAAGTATGTCGGAGTAGGACCAAAGTATTTCCACCATTGGGTGAACCACATAGGTATGTTTGTAAAGACGAATTTTGTATCGAAATAGAACGGCCATGAATGGCCTCCTTTCTTTGTTTTGGAGGAGCATAGTATTGAACCATGCTTGTCGATAATCCTAGTAGGAGAAAGATCGACGGTGGTTAACACTCGGGTTTGAAATTGTCCGGGAATACAATTTCTAGGGAAAGGTCTTGGCCCCGATCGGAAGGGTGAATGATTTTAAGGATTCTACATGTGGAGTAGGCGAGTTTCGGTTTTGTCGGGAGTGAGGAAATGTTTGAAGGTGGCTGATTTTGTTTTTTCTAGGATGGTCATATAGTAGGCTTGGTTTTTTGATAAATCCCATGGGGTGTAGTGCCATCTAGGAGGAAAGAATTTCCGAACAATTTTGTAAGGTTTATCAAAGAAATAAGCATCTTCGATAGTAAATATTTTTTGAAATTCTCGTTTGAGAAAATACTCGGATGTGGATTTTTTGAAAACGAGTTTCGTTGAAACAATCACCTAAGTGTTTTGTGACGAAGTATTTTGAGAAATAAGTTTTATGGAATTACTTAGTTTTGGAGAAAGGGGTTTTTCGAAGAAGAAGAAGAACGTTTCTCTTATTTTGAAATGGGCTCAAGATTCATGCTTGAGATTTTTTGTAGGGCCGGAAGGAGCTCTGGTCGTTTTGTCGAATTTTGGACCCGATTCTCAACGGATTAGGCTCGATTGGAATTGTTTCGGTTCTTGTTTTTCGACGACATCCGCCCAAGAGAAAGGTTTTGTCGATGATAAGGGTTTTGGGCTTTCCGGTATAAGGGGTTTTTCCCTTTATCTTTCTTGGCCATCGAGACTGTTTTACGGACACTCTTAAGTCAAGAACTTAAAAGGTGATTTTGATAAAATAGATTTTGCGGAATTTTGAAACAAAGTAGAAGAGATTTTGGAGATATTTTGAAAAATATTTTGGATGTAAATGTAAGTGCAAAAATGCGGGGTTTATGAGTTAACAAGTCTGGTTATAATGCTCGGGATAGGTAGCAATAATGGCTGCAAACTCATAATATGTCGGTAAAATTTTGTTTTTGATTATGCCATTTTGGAGTTCACTCTCGAGGTATCGTTCTAAAGAGTTTGTTTTGGAGAGGGCATATTCAATATTGTTGAGTGCTTCATTGATAAGATCGTCTTTGAAATCATCAATAGCGTCTAAGGCATATGCTTCTAGTGTTTCGGGAAATCTATCTAAGGCTCTAACCGTTAAATAGTTCTCCGTTTGGTCGGTGTTTAGACCCACTATATCCATAATGTCTTCTAAGATATCTTCCTCAAGAATAGGCGAGTTGATTGAAATCAATAGCTTCCTCTTGGTCATAAATTTCATTTTGTTCATAAAACCGACCCATCCGTAAAGGATAAGTTAGGGAAGATCCTATGAGTTTTGTAGAAGGGATAATAGGAACTCGAAGAATGAGTACATAGAATTATGGAATTAATTTCAGAAATAGAACATGTTTTGATAATATTCAAATTCCTAATTCTAGGTTTTTCAATAAACGGAAAGCAAGTTTTGTACTTCTAGTTTTGAAAATATGCAATCATGCTTCACGGAATAAGGAGTAACAAGATTTATGAAAGGTGTTCCTAAGATCACCATATGATGCATATTCTCAACAAGCGAGAAAATGATTTTTGATAGCAATACTACCGTTGACCACGGAGGCTTCGTTTTACCATGTATGGTCATTTTGGAATTGTTTGTCTGCGGAAAGACGTTCATGTGTGTGCATATGAAAACATTTTGGAACAATGCTTTGCTTAATATAATTCAAATCAGCACCGAGTATCAAACAAGGCAATTATATCAATTTTGTAATTATCGTGGAACACAAGAGTAATCTTAATCAAATATTTCCTAGAAGTAACTTCATGAAGTACAAACGGAAATCTTCCGAAACGTGTTTCGGGTTTTTAAGGTTTGGCAACTTTTGGTCATGGTCATGGTTTTCGAGTCGAGTCCGGCTCTTCGTCCGCCTGTTTTGTCAATAGGGTTTTCAAGAGACTAGAGTCTCGTGTTGTTTTTCTTTGAGCTCTTTAAGCTCTGTTTTAATGACCTTAATCTCGGATCGAAGGTCCTGAATTATGGTCATATGTTTTTTTGTCTTCTTCTTCCTGTCGAGGATAGCAGTAAGGTCATACGTGCTAGTACTAGTAGAAGGCAAGATAGAAGGTTTTGGCTTGTCATGAGGGTTTTCTTCAGAGACTTTAAGAGTCTATATAAGTATTCCTTTTGTAATTGAGGATCATCAATCCTCTTAACTATGTCTAAAATGAGGTCTTGGTCTTTGGTTAAGACATCGGCATGTTTGGTTTTGTTATCGGGTTCACTATCGAACTAGGTTTTGAACTAGAAGACGTAACAAGTTCATTTACCTAAAAAGTCTCTTCACTACCGAGTAGTACGAAGGGTCGGAGGAATCAACTAACGAGGCGGAGATTTTGTTATAAACATCTTCATCTAAATGAAGTTGTAATCTGGTATTCATACGACAATATCTTACCGTATGACCCTTTTGTCCACATTTGTAACAAGTAACGTCCTTTAGCTCGGCTCTAGGTCTGGGTCCTAAACTGGGTTTCTCTAAAGGGTTTTTT